GCAAATTCCCAGCGCTTTTACTCACCTATACGGGATTCCTCTGAAGAAAGACGGTGACGACAAACCGTACTCACTCCTGTGACTCCTTCCCCATATTTGTCTTAAAAACATTAAATATTTTTGGTATTATCAGAAATGCAACCCAACACCTATATTAAAGAATCTGGGCTTACCAAGTGGTAGAACACGTGGTTCTATGAGTTTTCTTCTATACCATTTTCTGCGCAATTTGATAATGATTGTTATGAAGGGTATAAATTCCATGATTTGCAGGAGCCTCAGTAACTTTCCGCCGCGACAAAATGACAAAGAAGTCGTTAAGAGCGACGGGAAATCGGACGGATTTGTAGCGGAGGAAATCAAATGAACCAATTAGGTTCGTGCGTGAAGGTGACGTGAACATAGACAATAGAACCCATCAGATATGGAATAGATCATCACGTGCCAATAGAAGCTGGGCCTAGGGGAAGCCTTTTGAAATTCAAATCAGGTCCATCATGTTTAGCTAAACAGTGTGTACTTTGTGAGAACAATTATTTCGGTTTCGTCGCGAAATATCACCGACATAACGATACTAGCTTATTATACATCCGAGATCACGGTGAACTTCTAGTAGAAGTACAATGCCCGCACTGTAAGACACCGTGTCATTACAGAAATGATAGACACCAGTGGGTTTGTGGTGCATGGGAAAGGGACCCAAAAACAACACGAATGCAATGCAACCTTACTGTAAGCGATCGCAATTCCCGCCAACAACGACCTGGAATACCCCGACGATTCCAGTGATCCGCAGCCTGACCCGTCTGGAGTTCATGTTTAAGATAAGATGTGGTTGGAACTGTTCCTGGGTCTGGGCTCTCTCCTGCTGGAACATACGAGGGGAAGATTTTGCAGACCAGGCGGGGGTGGGAGGGGCAGCACCCCTGAAAGGGGTTTAAGGGGGGCGGGGCCCCCTATACAACCCGGAGATGTGTTAATATACTATACTTAATCGTATTCTACCGATATTTCTCGAAATTCCCGGATATGTATCATGCCATCCCCAGCTATCGGAACTGATATCGTAGTTATCCTTCGTTTTCGATAGAAATTAGTGCTAGATTCGACGAAAGCTATTTGAAAATTATTCTCTTCACCCAAAAACGGTGTGAGGTTGCATTTCCAAATTTACCATTATTTTGATTTACTCTACAAATCTTGACACTAATTTTTACATGGTCAAAAGATCTTTAAAATCATATCCAGTACTTCTTTATCAAATGTCGAATAAATATCGAACACTACAGATATTGTGTGTGTGTGTGTGTGTGTGTGTGTGTGTGTGTGTGTGTGTGTGTGTGTGTGTGTGTGTGTGTGTTGTGTTTGTGTTTGTGTGTGTGTGTGTGTGCATAGAGATGTGGGGAATTCATGATGAACAAATTGCAACAGGAACAACGAAGGGAAGGGCAAGAAAACACATGAATATGTTTTCTTGACCTTCCCTTCGTTGTTTTTGTGCATAGAGATAGACAGATAACATATAGGTAGACAGACAACCGAAAATTCTTTCAGTGATAGCATTGATGATTACTCTATACTACTACTTTTACTTCTACTACAACTACTAGAATACCCCTTAAAACGTTAAAC